CTGAGGCTCTGCTGCCCTCTGGTGGACTTTTACAGACTAGTAACTCATGAGAATCAGACATTTAATCTGTAATAAATTAAGAATAAAATAAACAAGTACATAAAATGCACCACTGATCAACAGAGGATCAATTATTCTGTTAGAGGAAACACTGTTCTGTCCTCCCCACCTGTCTGCTGGACGGCGTGGCGTCTCGGACCTTATGAGCCACCTTGGTGAGGACGGAGACAAGCCAGCACTGACGGTCGAACTCTTCCCGGAGCCCTCGACCGACGCAGCACAGCAGAGCGGCCAGCAGGTGCTGATAGCGAGCGCTGAACTGACTGTCCTGCAGCGTGTCCTTCAGCAGCCTGTCAGACAGAGAGCAGGGTTCAGAGTGTACCGGTCTCTCTGTGGTTCTGTGTGTGTGTGTGTGTGTGTGTGTGTGTGTGTGTGTGTGTGTGTGTGTGTGTGTGTGTGTGTGTGTGTGTGTGTGTGTGTGTGTGTGTGTGTGTGTGTGTGTGTGTGTGTGTGTGTGTGTGTGTGTGTGTGTGTGTGTGTGTGTGTGTGTGTGTGTGTGTGTGTGTGTGTGTGTGTGTGTGTGTGTGTGGGGAATCAGAGGGCACGTTACCAGAAGAGGTAGTGAGCGATGCGGACGTCTCCGATGGCTCTCCGTAAGAGGAAGCGAACCAGAGAGCTGTCCAGGTAGCACTCGTACTTCAGAGCCTGAGACACAAAAAACAAAACGTCATCAGGATCGGAGACACTAAACATCAAGAGGAGCTCTCACTCAATCTGGATTCAGAGTATCTACATAAAAAAAGGTTCTGATCTAAATGTTCACTACCTTTACAACATGCACCGATACATTCAGGAAGAAAGAGGAGGAAGTCAACCCTCCAAAATAAAAGCTTGACAGTGCAACTGTTGAGATTGTGTCATGTACCTTTAAGACATACTGTGTTACTAAATTACTACTGGAGTGATGTCGCTTTACGGTCAGTTTGAGCGGCGCTTCTACCATGGGCGGACGCCTGAACTGACCACAACACAACCCTAACAGCTTGCATTATTCATATTGTTAATTATCTATTTATAAACACAAAGGACAAATACAAAACAACACAACTGCTGCTACCTTTTTTTTATTGCTGCTGCTATTTTATGATGAATCTGTACCGGTATATTTTATTTAGACATGTCTATTGCTGCTACTGTGTACAGTATATTATTTGTATATAACTTGTGTTTTTTATTTTATTCTTTGTATCTGTGTGCTGTTCTATCCTTTGGGGTTACCTGCTGCTGGAATCTGAATTTCCTGAGGGAACCTTCCCAAGGGATTAATAAAGTTCCAATCTATCTATCTGTACCAGAGCTCCTACTTTCCTTTTGCTTCTCAGCTCAACGGTGACATGAGGGATCATGTGGTGAACGCCATGTAACCGTACGACCGGGTGTTGTGAAGGTTGAGGAGAGGAATTAGCTCTAAAAACATCTGTATGCCGGTCAGATTGTAATCTACATGACGACAGTGAAGGAAGTCTTAGCTGGAAGTCCCTTGTCGCTAACGTCAGGATACACCGTCAAGAAGCTGTGAAAAGTTTCCTGTTATAGCAGCAGAGAGGCTGCTAATCATCAGAGATCAGCTGATGGGTTCCTACTTTGACTCTTCATTGAGGGATGATTCAGCTACAAACTCGGAGTAATCAGGGTTTTAAAAAGGGTTTCTTGTACGCTCTGATGTCAGCCGCCATGTTACCTGGACAAGCTGAGGCAGGAAGTCCAGCAGCTCTGGGTCTGAGATCGAGTCCATCCACTGAACCGCTGTCCTCCTCAGCTCCTGGTCCGGGAACCTGAAACACACACACACACACACACACACACACACACACACAGGATGTTACCATGACGATGTCACTCAGGTGCACAGAGCTTCCAACAGACAGAGAGACGTACGAGGCGTGGAGGAGTCCCAGGGCGTCCAGGTGACCCAGGCACGCCCACTGCCTCAGCAGGGCGTAGATGTCGGGTAGACAGGCCCACTGCCAGCAGGGGGCGCTGGCCAGAACCAGAGGCAGAGCTGCACTCTCTGCCTGACAGAACGCCTTCTTCTCCCACAGCAGACGCTTATCCTCCACCGTCAACCTGCAGACACACAGACGCTAACTGTTAAAAGGTAACTGTTTCCTTTTGAGTATAATTCTAAGATTTATCAGAGTGTGTGTGTGTGTGTCTGACCAGAAGAAGGCCTTCTTGTGCAGGACGTCCTGCAGCTGGATCTGACTGATGGTGTCCAGTCTGGAGAAGTCGTACTGAGGACAGAAATCAGCAGGAGGAGGAGTACTGAACCGAACCTCGAACGACGACGTGGGAAAGTCCACCTGAGGGGGGGGGGGGAGGGGAGAGGGAAAGAGAGAGGGAGAGAGAGACAGGGAGAGGGAAAGAGAGAGGGAGAGAGAGACAGAGGAGGGGAAAGAGAGAGGGAGAGAGAGACAGAGGAGGGGAGAGGGAGACAGAA